CGCTAATTATCGTTCTTAAGAACAAGAAGAAATTCAACGATGAGGAAACGCAAATATATGAATAAGAAAGGATGTACGTGCCCGCATCAAAAGGGGATACGTGATTTTTCTGAATATCTGAGAATATAGACTATTGGCACACCCTCACACTCAGATGAGACGCGCTCCTGAGCGTCTCTGTAGTGGAACTTCAAGTTAGAGCATGCACACACACACACAAAAGGGGTATCAAATGTTAAGGTTACATGGTACATAAAAAGGCCAGAAAAAACTATTCAAACGCGTGTAAGAAATGAACTTATAAGATAAATGTAGATGAACTTCTGTAAAAAGGATTGATCAATTTTGTTCTTATAAGGCTTGCAGCGTTTTCATTGATGGCATTGTAATAGTAATGTTGGTACCCACTGCTTTCTTCTTATTAATATAATACAGTAGGACGATGCCTAACTCAATAACCGTCATCATCGTAAGGATGGTACCAAAGAAGGTTGTATGTTCTTTCCAACTTTGAAAAGCACCTCCTGTGACTGGCTTGGGTGTATTTGATATGAAGTCTATTACCGCTTGCATTTCCGAAGGAATATATGGTAATTTAGCCCAATGCGTTTCGTTTGCTAGGTTCGCTTGTAGATCTAGCAAATCCTTTTGCATGGGACTGACTGATTCGTTGTATATTAAATGTATCGGCTCACCGACTGTGAGGGGTAATCCTGGTAAGAAAAACCGATCACAGGCTAACGAGTCTGTATTCATTGTTGTGATCAATGCTACTGAAGGTAGTACGGTTTATTCCTTCTCGTGTAGTGAGTGGTGATCTATATCAGATGTTGCGACTGAATGACATTTCGTCGTTTTGTTAGATGATATTGCCCAGTGTTGTCCGATGCGGCTAACGAACACTGCATCAGGATATGGCTCAACACGGCAATCATTTAATTTTGAATCGGTTAGGATTTGATAAAGACAATCATCTTGTGATTCCTTTCGTCTAGCTGGGGTTTCCCGGCATGAAGACATCTGCACAAAATCACAAGATTTCGCTTCTTCCTTTGACCAACGAATAAAGTGCTGTGATTTGGGTTCAATCCCTAGAAACGCAGGCATTTGAGCCAATCGCACTCGTTTATTGTCTAGGTTAAATGGTACTGCTAATAGTTCGTATATTGAGAATGGGGCTTGATCCCGAGTGGGCGCTGCAAAAAATGACGTGAATAGTAACTTTCCAATTAGAGGACCTTGACCGGTGGATTCCGGATCCTTCGTTTGTACGAAATCAATTTGTTGGCGGACTAGCAACCGTGTAATTAGCGCTACAGTGGGAATTGAACTATCTGCTTCGTCAAAGGTGATATTTATTGCTTGGGATATTAAGTCCACTACTTTGGGTAAATCTTGTTGATGCACGAATAGTAAATTTAATTGATTAGATAGTATTTTTTCGATTGATGTATAAACAAAATGAGTTTCCATAGCATGCACGACCGATGCTAGTCGAGTACTTAAAAAGATTGCTTGTGATATAATTGTACGTAGTGCTTCTTCATGTTCTCGTAGTATATGCGCGTGTTCATTAACCATTGCTATCGTTTTGTTTAATGCAACTTGTGTATAATTAAGTTCCTGTGCTAATTTGAGTTGTTCTTCGTTAAGATGCAACATTTGCGCTTGGAAGCTTTGTGCTGTTTGATCTAAGACTCGGAGAGAGTTCTGCACTTGCCTCACGTCGGCTCTCAAATTTGCTGCTTGAATGTGATTAAATAATGTCATCCCTGCTGCTGCTATGCCTGCTCCAATAGCGATAACTATCAGCAGCCCCCGTTTCATTCGTATTCGAGGTGTGACGAGCAGTGTTGTTCCTCTTATTGTTGACGACGCTGATGGCATAATGAATACTTTTGCTGTTCTCTTATCGGCCATGGATTTGTTTACTTCCGACGTAATTGATTCTTTTCGATGATTCTGCATGTGGGATGAATCTGATTGACAATGAGGAATTTTCGTCTTTGCTCTTTTTGGAATTAAATAACACATATCTGGTACCATCGGGATAGTTACTGTAAAGGTAACGATTTTATCCGCTGGTAGGTATTCTGATAAATAATGTAAAATCAACCCTGATTTTGTATGCACAATATCAGTTTTTGGTATTGTAAAATTAATCAAGCCCGATACTTGCATTTTTCGTATTCCACCCATCATAAATAATACTTGAAATATTTTGATTATAAGTAACATTGTTTCAGTTTCTTCCAAATAACTATATATATCTAGAAATGTAAATATTCACATACATAGTGATTACGGGGAACGGTAGAAAATGGGTTTAATGCAAGCGTTGTAATAATTATACTCTTTTTCCTTGGATATATGCTTTACTTCACCTGGTGTTGTTAATCATGATTTCTAGCATGCTACATCAATGTGAGAATAATAGGCATAAACTTTTGGGCCCAAAAATGTGATAGAGCTATTTTGAGGTTGTTTAATTCGTGACTCTCCTTGTTGTAATTTGTACTCACTATTTAATTTTGTGAGTGGCGTATGGAAATATATTGATCTTTTCTGGTGTTTTGTGTATTTTCCATACTTATTTGACTGATATTATTATCATTTTACTGTTGGTATCGAACTGGCAGTCTCCTCTGCCGCTTCGATGGAGGGCGTAGCACCACTTGGTCAGTTGTCATCGGCTGTGTTGTGGGTGCGTACAAAATAGATGAGTCAGAATCTTCTGTTGACAGCACTTCCCGTCGCCGCTTTAACCCAGGGCATGTCGTCTCTTGATCACTCATTGACTGCGAACTAGTAGACGAGCTCGACGTTGCTGCGTCAGAATCTTCATTGATTATGTCTGTTTCCATACTCGTTTCTAAATTTGTAGGTTGTGGGATTGCAATATCTGATTGTTCATCATCCTCTCTTGCACTATCTGGTAGTGGAATTCGCATTGCAATCTCTACTTGTGAGTTAAATTTGCTGTTGTTATTCGGTAATGGAGGTTGCACTACATTATCTGTTTGCGTACCAGCATCATCTGCAATATCTGGTTGTGCCTCAGCTCTGCTTTCACTGTCAGGTGGAGAATCAGAATCATTTGTACTGTCTAATGGTGTAGCAGGCAATGGCTCCAAGTAAACTTTCAGCCTATCAGCATTTATAGCTCCTAGATTGACGCTGTCCCCCATCCTGTGAACGATAAAAGTTGAGGAATTTAGTTGTTTGACAACTCTGCATGGGCCTTGATATCGAGGTTATAGCTTGCCCCGGACCAGGTGGTCTCCAAGTCTCGCTGTTTTAGTGGCTACCCATACCAGATCCCCAACTTCAAACCGTCTTTGTGTAGTATGTCTATCATACTTCGCTTTCTGGGTCCATTTTTCCACTTCGGAATGCTCATGAACCAGGTCGAATGCAGAACGTAGGTTATTGATTAGATCTATTCTATAGTTATGAACTTGCGTTTGCTCACCAATTGTAGAGGGTAGTCCTCTTATTGGATCCCCCACGATTAAGTCTGATGGTGTTCTGGGGTCTCGCCCGAACATCAAAAATGCCGGAGTTTCGCCGGTTGTTTCATTAATCGACGTCCGTATCGCGAAGGCTAATTTCGGTATTTCCTTATCCCACGAGTGCGGTGATCGTTGTGCAAAAATTGCGATGAGCGGTTTCAACGTTCTATTAACGCGTTCTGACATATTGCTCTGCGGATGATAATTTGCTGTAAACTTTTGTTCTATTCCGAATGAACGACAAAAGTCTTCGAATATGTTAGAAACAAACTGTGGACCATCATCAGATAAGATGTATTTTGGCAATCCGTATCTTGAAAATACTTCGTTGATAAGTATTTGAGCAATATCCATAGAAGTTGTAGTGCGCATTGGAAATATTTCTATCCACCGAGTAAAATAATCAACAACTACAAGCAAAGATCTTTTTTGACGTGACGTAGTGGGAAATGGTCCCATCATGTCTATTCCTATTGTGTGCCATGGTTCCCACACTTCATGTAATTGCATTGGCGTTGCCATCGGCATATTGTTATACTTGAATCGTTGACATTCTTGGCAAGCGGCTACATAATTATATATGTCCTTCCGCATTGATGTCCAATATACTCGAGTTGATAGACGAAATAAAGTTTTCTGTTGACCTGCATGACCTGCGGTTGGATGATCATGCGCCCATTGTAATAACTTGTGTTGCATAGCTTTTGGGATGACCACAAGATGCTTATTACCTAAGGCACGTTGGTTATAATGTCGATTTGAATTCTTTATCTTGTATAATATATCATTTATCAGAACAAATGGTTGTCTTTTATCATTAACTAGAGTAGGAGTTATTGTTTTTAATTGTTGAATAATTGGAATTAGTTTTGGATCTGCTTGCTGTTCTTTCTTTATATCTTCTAAAATATTCGTGTTTTCCCATAAGTTGATTATTGTTTCGACCGTTGAGATTTCGTACGAAGTTAAGGAATTACTGGTGTTGTTATTTGCACGTACCATTCTTTCCTCACTTTCCTTGTCTTTTGGTTTTCTTTGTCCGATGGGCTCCATTGTACATGTTGTAACAGGATTTCGTGACAAAGAATCTGCATTAGCATTTGCTGCTCCTAGGCGATATTGAAGGCTTTCTATTTGAAAAGCTGATAGCTTCATAGCTCATCGAGCCAATCTTCCACTAACATCCTTTGCATTCTTTAACCATTGTAAAGCCTTGCAATCAGATCTAATAAGTACTTTTGTCCCCTCTAAATAGGGTCGGAAATGTTGTGTTGCCCATACAATGGCAAGTGCTTCGCGTTCTGTTGCACTATAATTCCGTTCAGCTGGTGATAATGTTCGACTTGCATATGCGATAACAAATTTCTTTTTGTCGTAGTCTTGTGCGAGTACGGCACCCAGTCCATATTCGCATGCATCAAGCTCCAATATGAACGGTTCATTAAAGTTCGGTGTATTCATGATTGGAGCATTGATTAGTTTACCTTTCAAAGTTTCGAACGCTGTCGTACATTCTGGAGTCCAATTCAGATGATAGTTTCTCTCTTTCAGTTGTCGTAACTCTTTTATGAGAGGTTCGGCTATCTTCGAATAATCTCTAATAAATCGCCGGTAATAACCCGTCAACCCCAGAAATGATTGTACGTCTTTTATTGTCTTTGGCTGTGGAAAATCGGAAACTGCTTTCGTTAATGTAGGATCAGGTTTAATGCCATCTTGAGTAACGATATGTCCTAAATACTTCATCTCTCTTCTACAGAAACAGCATTTCGACGCTTTGAGAGTTAAATTTGCCTCTCTTAATGCCAGAAATACCTTTTCTAGATCGAGGAGATGTTGTTCGAAATTCGGCGAATAAACCACGATATCATCTATATATACTAAACAACATTGCCATTTAAGTCCAGCTAGAACAATATCCATTAAACGCTGAAAAGTAGCTGGTGCATTCGTCAGTCTAAAAGACATGACATTGAATTCATAAAGTCCCTTATGGGTAATAAAGGCAGTTTTTTCTTTAGAATCTTTATCCATTTCAACTTGCCAATATCCTGAACGTAAATCTAACGTTGACACGAACTTTGCTTCTTGCAATGAATCGAGTGTGTCATCGATTCGTGGTATAGGATATGCATCCCTAGTAGTCATTGAGTTTAACTTACGATAATCCACACAGAAACGTATTGATCCATCTTTTTTCGGAGCCAAAACCACAGGGGATGCCCATGGGCTCTTGGATGGTTCAATAATTCCTTCTTCTTTCATTTCCTTGAAATTTTGCTCTATGATTTGCCGTTTTGCAGGAGCGTACCGGTACGGTGGTGAATTGAATGGTTTCGATCCCGGTATTAACTTGATTTGGTGTTGCAGCGTTCTCGTTCTGCCATGTTGTTTTCTGAAGATACCTGAAAACGCTTGAATCAGATTCTTTAACTGCTCTTTTTGTCTTTGACTTAAATTTGTGTCAGTTAAATCCGTTTCCGTCTCCGTCTTCGTTGCAGAATTAGGAGAAGATGCTTCGTTTGATATTTTCCCGGCTTGATGCAACATATTTACTTGTACCTTGTTGAGTCTTGTCATGGTAGCTAGTTTCTGTCCGGGTTGAATAATGATCGGCTTCTTCGTTAAATTTGCCACCTGAATATTCATAGATTCTTCGGGATCAATGATACCATTCGCCACGCATGGAGTTTGTTTAATGGTGGTTATTTCATAAACTGAGTATTTGTTACCTGCGCTACCGAGTTTTTTATCCGATCTTACTTGAACATCGGACGCATGAAAAGATGGTAACTTAATACATTCACTCGCTAACAAAGTATATTCATCTTCTTCTTCGCGAATGGATGTATAATTTGGTGTACTCGATTTCATCGCGGCGGAACCTTTAAAATATACCCATTGACGGCCGCCATCTATTTGAAGATTATATTTCCGAATAAAATCATTTCCGATAATACACGGTCGCCATAAGTTTGGGATAACGTGAACTGTATGTCGTCGGGTGTGATTTGCAATCGTGATTGGAAGTGTAAGGATCTTGTGTACCTGTAGGCGCGATTTATCAGCCAGATGTACATGTAAGTTCACCGTAGGGTATTGAGCATGTCGACGAATGTAATAGGGTACTTGGTAAAATAGGTTCGAATTAATTAATGTTAATGAGGCACCTGAATCGATAAGCATCTTAGTCGGCTGTTTCGCTATAGTTCCGTTTACAGTAAGTGGATTTGTGTGATGAGTTTGGATAGAGTGCGTTTGTGCCGACATTTGAACGGAATTCTTTACATAGGAGCGCGTCTGGTCCGTTCGTCCAGTGCTCCAAAGTCGTTTTTTGGATTTGGTTTGCCTCGTTCTTGTCGATACGTTCCATATTGTGTTGGACAATCCCTTGCCTAGTGTCCATCTCCTCCACACTTATAGCATCCTTCAGAATGGAACTGTTGTGGCGACGTTAGTTCTACGGTGGTACGATTCGAGTTATTTTGGTACCTATTATGTGTTACTTCGTTCACTTGGTAGGCTTGTGTATCATTGAAGTACTTTTGTCGCGTCTGTTCTTGATTTGGACGTGAAGTTATTCGTCGCGAATGATCATCGCTATAATACTTTCTGGTTGATCGTTCGACATCCACAGATGATGATTGTTTAAATTGATTTAATAAGCGTTGATTCTTGGCTCGTCGATACAAAATCTCTTCTATTTGTTGAACTTCGGCCATCAACTCGTCTAAAGAAACATTACGAGGTGTTCCTATCATGTTTAATAAATCGTTTCGCATCCGACAAAACAGGTGTTTGACCAGATCGGCTTCAGTTTCTTTCGGCTTTTGCTCCTTCCAAAGAGCACGAAGGCGAACTAGAAATTCATTTATAGTTTCATCTTCGTTTTGCTTACATTCATGCCATTCTTGTTCTTGTTTTGCTTTACGAACTGGTGAATTAAATTGTGCAAGAAAGACGTCCGTAAATTCAGTCCATGTTTGCGGTCGGCGATGCGACATTCGTAGTTGACAATACCATTCTAAAGCTGAGTCTCGGAAAAATTGTGAGATACCGTTAAGTAATGTGGGACGATCCCACGCGTGTACTGATTCAGCATATTCTTGGACTCGGATCAAAAATTGTGTTGGACTTTCCGAGTGCTTTCCATGAAAAGCGGGAACTGCTGATGATGGTGGCACTATGATAGAATGCTTTACACCGTTTAGTGGAAATACCGATTGTGTTGTTGCTTCCTGTTTCGCTTCCGGTTCCACCATATAAGTCTATTATCTCACATAGACTAAAACTATGAAATCTACCATTTTGATGGACTAAAAAAATAATATAGATTTCTATATTCAATATATAGCAACTTTTAGTATATAAAATTCTAATTCTATAATTTTTGATACACCAAAACAACAAAAGCCGATTCCTATATTTGATATATAGAAATTTTCACTATATAAAACTTCAAGTTTATAATTTTTGATAGACTAAAACAATAATCAAGATTTCAATATTATATGTATAGAAATTTCCATCACATGAAATTGTATGTCTATGATTTTTCATAGACGAAAACAAAAAAGTAGATTTCTATGTTCTATATATAGAAATTTGTAGTATATAAAATTCTAAGTCTATCATTTCTGATAGACTAAGACAATAAAACAGATTTCTATATTCAATAAATAGAAGCGTTGAGTATATGAAATTCTATGTCTATCATTTTTGATGATGAAAACAATAATATAGATTTGTATATTCAATATATAGAAACTTTGAGTTCATAAAATTCTAAGTCTATCATTTCTGATGGACTAAAATAATAATATAGATTTCTATATTCCATATATAGAAATTTTGAGTATATAACATATCAACTCTATCCTTTTTGGTAGACTAAAACAATAGAATAGATTTCTATATTTCGCATATAGAAATTTTGAGCATATAAAATGTTAAGTTTATCCTTTTTGATGGACTAAAATAATAAAACAAAATTTCTTTATTCAATATGTAAGAATTTGAAGTATATAAAATACTGTCTATCATTTTTGATAGACTAAAAGAATAATATAAATTTCTATATAGACTTTATTGAAATTTTGATTATATAAATTATAGGTCTGTTACACTCGATAGATTAAAAGGGTAATACTAATTCCTCTATGAAATATGTAGAAAATTTGTTTATATTAAACTCTGCATCTATCATCTAAGATGGATTAGAACAATAATATTAACTTTAACCTGAAATATATGGAAAATTTCAGTTACAGACAATTCTTAATCTATCATCTATGATAGTTAAAGGAGACAATGATAAGATAAATTAATATCGAACTGAGTTATTTGAGGGACTTTGTGTCTGATTGCATTTCATTTGAAAAACTTAAGTCCTAGCTTTCCAAACTAAAAACACCATCATTGGTATGTACTTTACATTTTGCGAGTGGTCGTAACTCATACAAGTTTCCAACCGAATATATTGGAAACCCAACAGATATTTTCGGATACCTTTTCGGATACAGAGTCGCATTTTAGAGGAAAAATCGGTTGCCGAAAATACTTTTTCGGTTTCTGATAGTGGTGAAAAGGTATTCTAGTATACTCGACGCCTATTGAATTCGGTATTGTTGGAAACCGAAAGGTTTCCGAAACCTCGAAAACCGGTAAGATATTTCCCAAAACGGTTTCAGTGATCGAAAACCTTCTCAGAAACCAAAAAGGGTTCTCGAAAGGGTTTCCAGTTGAGTTTGGGTTTTTTTGGAAACGGATTTTTTTTAAAGTAAAGATGATGAAAGATATCGCGAAATGGTTAAAAACCAAGCGTGTATTGGTATTTTTATTATGTTCACTGTAAAAAAGCTGCATTAGGTAATTAAAGATAAGGGTGCATCTTGGATTGGTCAATATTTTCGTGACATCATTTTAATGCAACCCGTATTTCCATTTCTCAAACACGAAGAAAATATAATCGACCTGGATCATGTAATATTCTTTCATGACAAAGCCCCATGTATACGAGCAAAAATGACTCAATATTTACTTCAAGACAACGATATCAATTTTCGGTGAAACGACACCTGGCCTGGAAATTTACCTGATCTAAATATAGCTGAACGCATTGGAACAATAATTAAAAACGAAGTTAAACAAAAAATGTTATCAGAAACTGAACAGAATCGTTATGAAGAAGAAATGTAGAAAAAACACCTGTCATATATCTTGGCAAACATGGAATCAAACACTGAGTTATTTGAAAGTCGTTTATGTTCTTATCTATCACGTCTTCGTGCAGTAAAAGATGCTAATGGACGTCATACTGATTATTAACATTATTCACCAAAACTGAAAAATAAATCAGTTCGATGTTATTGATTATTTTAGATTAGATTTAGTTCAAAATGCTTGAGGAAAAAATTTTTTTCATAATAAAACGGCGAAAATTTCTAGAGATTTGTAATGTTTGTTATAAAAAAATTGTCAAAACCCTCACAATTTAATATCGATATATTCCATTTTTTCCGCGCTTTCTTGTGGTATAAAATTCGTTATTAGCATTAATCAAAATCATAGAGCTACCCCCTTGGAAAAACGTTTTTATTCACTCTATAGTCTTTTCTAAACGACAATGCGCAATCTCCATAAGCAATTTCTTTTACGATGATATGGTAACATTGATCTGTAATTATAAACTCGAAATAAACTTGGAAGATACTTAAAAATCGAATTACTTTGTTGAAAATGTGTCATAAAGAACTATTAATAATTTTAATGAGGATGCTGAACTTTTTAAGATTTCATTCGTTTATTAATAAGCTCTCGATAACTCTAAATAATTTAAAAAAAACCATGTCGGATAAAAATGGTTTCAGGTATTTAGAAAAGTTCTATCTCACATCCATTTTTATAAACAGAGCTGCTTTTACAAAGATACTTCTAGCGGAAATTGCTTGAACTGAGATTGATTATTTTTTGGATGTGATTTAATAAACGTAAATCTGCAATAATGCTATTTAGCCAATAATAACAGAACGTAGGTAACAGCTGCCATCTAATTTGTCAACAAAAACGGCTAATGAAATGCTACAACATTAATATAAAATTAAAATTTTTCTGTGCATAATTCAACTGCAAGTCTTTGGTTAAGCAACATCTATTTTGCGAAAATAATAACTTTTTAGAAAATTCCACCGACCCCATTAATGATTGTTCCAATACTGAATATATAGTATTGTCAGGTACAATCAATAGTGAAATATTAGCGTCAACAATAAAAGGTGAAAAAAATATTTCTATCATCACTAAAATCGGCAAAACGGTTAAAAGTGCCAACACATGTAGCAGATAAAAGTCCGCAGGAAAGTTTGAATCTACAAATTTTCTTGTCTAAAAATTGTCTCTGATTATTCTGATTGTTCTGCTGACTAAGTTTTACTGTAATTAAGAAGTGTGAATGCACTAATCACTATCGCGATGAGATTTTGACTTCTTTTGTGAAACTCGATTTAAAAGAGAGTGTTGAAGTGTTTAAGGGTGGAAATTTCGAGCCCCTCCTCCCACAGACCATGATCGGCACATCAGATCAGCAGCATAGACCGTAATCCGCATTAGAGTATCTTCTCATTTACAATACAAATAAACAACTAGATCGTGGTTCACATTTTAATCCCGCAGGGATTGCACTGAAAGCTTTTTTTAAAATGCATTTATGTCCAGTATCTTCACAGAAGAGTGTTATACTTACTGCGATGGATTTATACCTTTGTGTCATCGTGATGTGACTGTCAATTCTATAGTATTTTTAATATCTTTATTTATCGACAAAAAAGAAGAATAAGAAATAATATACGATATGTTCTATTGGTTCGTTCTATCTGAAGTACTGAGAAATTCATATTTTTATAATGGATAATTACAGTAAGAAACAATTTTTGGTCATTCTTCGAAATAAAATATGTTTCAGACTTGAATGGTTCTGCAGTAAGTTTTATGTATTCAAATATATAATTCTTTGCTCCTTTAGGTTTATCTCAATTATGAATTCAAAGGTAAGATTGATCAAATACAACAAGATAACACCGATCGATACGACTCGCTTGACCTATAACTGAATCCATTCTGTTTTTCTCTGCTATGTAGTTTTTTTATTAATCCTTATTAGACGCATATGTCATCAGTTGCACTGGAAGATAATCTGGAAAGAAGTCAGGAAATGTTGCCGCTTGGTTTCCTTACTGAATTCTATTTTAAGAATTATCATTATAAAAGATACGTATACCAAAAGCTATAAAATTCCCGCAGATAATCATTTTTTATAAAAGCAGCTTTTTCAATTTTCTGTTGAGATTTCCTAAAATAAAGCGTGACCAACAGCTTGCAGCCAGTCGTCAGCATCTTTACGAATCGCTACTCCTGACTGCTGGATTATCTTTAGGATGCGTGTGTAATGTAGCATGATGTTTCTTTTTCTTCGTAAAAACTACAGAAATACACTTTATAATTCGAATATTGACTATTCGCTTTGTTATCTAGTAATGCAACAAAAAAATAAATTTAAGAAAATTAAAGCACTTGGATTAGCATTAGGACGGTACGGTGCAAATATAACTCAGAAACGTGCAATAATAATTTTTATGTTATCAATTCAGGCAATTTTTTTCTTCGTATACATATCAGATCATTGAGAAAATCTCAAGAACTAATGTCATTCATTATAACTTAATTTCAAGCTAATGTTGCAGCTTGAAAGCAGAAGACAAAATCCTTCGTGAAATCCGTTTATATTGTACAGACAGAGAAAAACTTTTTTCACATATAAGATACTTTTTTAGAAAACCAAAAAAACATTAAGCTAAAAGATTCTGAAGTATTAACTATAGATTTGAATTCCTCGACCTCGAAAATTTCAGATTGATTTTTGACCATTAACCCTATCACAAACACATACACAAACATATTTTATTGTGCATATCCTGTCTTCAGTCCAGAGAACAAATTAGCTTTTTATCTGTTTAGATATATCTGAATAATAGATTCAAAGATAAGTTCTAACTTATGAGATGAATTTTTTTTTCTTTATTTAGTTATATTCTCGTTCTCGTAGAGAAGAGTCCAGTAAGCATAAATTGTTTGTTTGTTTGCTTACTTGTGTGTCCGCATTCCACTGATTGGCGCAAAGATAATGTGACAACAAAAAATCTTTTTTTTTTTTATAAAGTTTGATTAAAGGTTTTCGGGGTCGAGGAATCGATTAGTGATGTTAATT